CATCTCATAGTTAAATAGACGATAAAATGCATGACACGAGGCTAATTATCAGTGTTTCGAAAATAAAGGACTGCACACATCCGATGTTTCAATATCTAATCAACAAAATTTTCTCCCTCTCTTCTTAAGGGTGTCATCACAACGGTGGGAAAGGCTCAGTTTCCCGAGAACCATGTGTATAGGCTGAGCATTCGAGCTGTGGATTTGAATGCGGCCAAACCAGAGACAAGTTTTGCTGACATGCTGCTGTTGGTCTACACCTCCTTCCAACCCGTGGTCTTTCCAGCGGCCATCTTTCAGTTCAATTATTCAGAGGAATTACCTCCTGAAACCACGTAATTTAACTTACTAATAGTAGATTTGAGTCATGCACCAAGTGGTCATCTCTTAGACCGAATGGGTGTGACAAATGCCACGGCTATCAACTGAATTGTATTGGTTACTACGCAGGTCAGAACGTGTGGTTTGTGGCCATCAGGGATGTAAATCATTCAAAGTTATGGAACTTTTAGATGCGCCACTCGAAGTCATGTTTCAGCACCATCATCTGGATGGCTATAACAAGGAAAAATCTGGTGGTGCAGCTAAGAATTCTTAATTAGCTCTGCTTCACTGTAACAATTTCTCCCCGTTCCAAACATTCACCTTCACAGAGGGATTGGCCTTACTTTTGGTTGTGCTTTAAGCAATAAGGCTGTTGATGCAGACCGGGTTACCAGGATCAGCCAGGTGCCTCAAGAGCTCTGCTGTGGTAAGAATCCCTGGCCGATCAAGCATCTAAGGTCTCCATCAGTATGCTGTATTTATAAAGTTTTCTCCGACTAAATTTTTTGGGAAACTTTACAATTCGGCACCGTAACTTATGACATCACCACATGCGCCTTAAGCCCCAACACTACCACCTTCTATTGCTGGAAATGGTCGTTGACTGGCTAGTAGACATGCATGGTGACTCCTGTCTTCTGTACTCATGATTTTTTATTGACTGTCCTTATAGTAATTATTGGTGCACTCAAGGTCTACATGTTTTAGTAACCAACCGATTCAGCTTCCTCAAAAGCTGCTACTTCTGACTTATTTATCATAGGGTTGGATACATACCTGCACGATCTTTAAATTCCCTCAATGAAAAAGTCTCCTTTACCGTAATTCGAGGACCCGATCCCTCCGAGGAACCTGTTCGAATTGAAAATGGTGGTGACGGCCGGATTACCATCAAAAGGAAGTATGACTACGAACATATACTTGATCACTCCTGGAGTTATCTCATAGAGGCGCGCGTCCCTAATGGCTTTTCGGCCACCGCTTTGGTGAATTAGACCTCACATATTCCCGTGTTTTGCTTTTAAATATTTATGCTACTTTAATTGTTAAGTAACACTATTTATTTTGCTTTAAATCTTGTTAATCATCCCTTTGTAATTTCACACGCTTACGCCTTTTTTCTTCCTTGAAGATGGTAGTCAACATCATTGACACGGATGACAATCCTCCTTTTTTCGAGCTTATGGAATATCATTCAGAGCCCATCCTTGAGACCGTCAAAGTCGGGACTGTTGTCCTCGAAGGTGATTTTGGCAACCTCTTAAAGTTTGAGATTTCTGTAGGCCTGCTAAGTGCTTCCAATGAGCAAATCTTATTCGTAGCCCTTTCATTCTGTTGCTAGTTCCTCTAATTTGTTGTCAAAAGTGACATTCCAGTCGGCTAATTCATTCATCCGGAAGTACATAACAGCCTACAGCCTCTTTGAGAGCGCTATAAAACGTAGCGTACTAAGGAAACTGGAATGGCTAAATTTTCTATCCTGTACATCTCGCTTACGCTTCCTGGAATGTCCTCTGCCTCGTCCTTTAATTACTCCTCCGGCAAACCAAGAGACTGCTTACGTGCAATAATTGTTGGCTAGAGTTCCTTGCTCTTAAATTCTCTCCTAAAAAACAACCCTTCAAAGTCGAGATCCTAACAACTAGCACATCCTGGCAGCCATTTGTTTCCGCAGTAGCATTTGATTTGGGTGGTTTTTCTAGGCG